TGAATCAAATATGTATCTTTATTCATTTACAATAAACTCATAAAGTACATCATTCTGATTGAAGCTAAGGGCATACAAAACTGTCTAACACTCCAGTGATAAGGCCTCCTTGTTCTTGCCCTTTAGCGCTGCCACATAGCACTGGCAAGCGATCTACTAGTTCCCACAAACAACTCCAACGTCAGGCTCAGTGGGGAGTTTGAAGGCTAGGTGGTAGGAAGACATGGTTGCCCCCAACGTGTGAAGGGTTGGCCTCCCCATTATTGCATTGTAGGGGGAGCCAACCTTCACTACCAGGAACTCATGCATCCAAGTCACCTGGTCCGATTTTGTCCCTACAGTGATGCACAGGATGATCTTTCCCTACGGTCTGATGACACTACTGGAGAAGCCAACAAGGGGAATGTCAACTGGCTGGAGCCGCTCGGGCGCGAGCTTCATCCTTTCGAAACTGTCGTAGAAGAGGATGTCGGCCGAGGAGCCATTATCCACTAGGATCTTCTTCACCATGTAGTTGGCGATGATTGTTGCGACCACGAGGGATCATTGTGGGGGACTATGACCCTCTTTAGGTCCTCGTCGGTGAAGACGAGGGCTTTTGGATAGCTCGGTTTCTTCAGAGCGTCCGGGTACTTTTGCTTCTTTAGGACTGGCCCCTGGATGTTCAACTGCCTGGCGTAGGCCTTGCGGGCCAAGGCCAAGGCCCCATCCGAGCCCATGCCCCTGGCGGTGATGTCGATGACGCCTACCACTTGCTGGTGGTGGTGTTGTTGGGAGGACAAGGTGTCAGCCTCTCCTCCTACAAACTGCTTAAGGTGCCCGCAGTGGATGAGGGACTCTGTCTCATTCTTGAGATCGTAGCAGTCCCTGTATAATGCCTAGTGCTGCGATGGTACTTGCAGTACTTTTTGGGATTACCCCTCCTAGGGTTCCTCTTCATCTTCTCAGGCCACTTTACATACTTCTCCCCGATTTGCATCAGTATCTGGGCATAGGTGGAGTTAAGTTACATGTATTCCTTGTAAGTCAGGGCCGAGGCTAGTGGCTTCTTGTTATCCTTGTCGTTGTTGTTGTTGTGATGGTGGTTATCTCCACCCTTCCTCTTCTTTTCAGGGGGCCCGTTGTGGCGCTCGGCTTCCCTTTCCTAGTGGTCCTCGGTTGAAGCCTCTTCGGCCACAATATACTTCTGGGCCTTTTTGAGGAACTCTAGCTTTGTCTTCGGTAGGGTCTTAGCAATCGAACACTTGAGGGTCGAGCCGACATGGAGCCCATTAATGGTAGCATGCATAGAGACCATGGGGTGGAGGTTATGGACCTCAAGCTCTTCCTTCTTGAAGCAGTCGATGTAAGACCGCAAACTCCCACCCTATTTTTATTTAATTGACATCAACGAGACAACACTTTTCTGGCATCGTCTGCTGCTGATGAAGTGGGCAAGGAATAGGTTGGTAAACTGCTCCCATGAGTCGATTAACCGAGGTGGGAGGTTGGACAACCAACGTTGAGCTGCCCCCCTGAAGGTGGCCTGGAAGGTTCGGCACATCAAGGCGTCGAAATACCCATAGAGTATCGTGAGCGCTCTGAAACCTTCCAGGTGGTTTTCGGGGTCGGAGCTCCCATCGTACGTCTCCAGCGTGGGAGCCTTGAACTGCTAGGGAAGAGGTTCCGAAATGATGTCGGGGTCATTGGTCAACAGAGGCGTCAGCTTGGCTTTCGCAAACTTGTTGGATCCCGTCCTTGACGGCTCCAAGCTCAGCTTGCAGTTCCGCGATCCGAGGGTCGGTGGGAACCTGTGCCCCCTATCTTTGCGAGCATGGTGGGGGTAGGCTCGGACTCCAGAGTGCTCCGAAGCAGGACCGCGCATCTTCCGTYGAGCGCGGCGGTCGTTTAGGACGTCGCGGAGGTCAGAAATTGGAGGAGGAGAGGCGTGGTGTCAGCCCTCGGCCCTGGAATGGGTACTGCGATGGCCGAAGCGCCTGCCTTCGTCCCAGGTGTTGTCCCTCTTGCGACGGTGGTGCTGCTCGGAGGGCTGGCGGCCATCTTCGGATGCCGCTAGTTCATCCTCCCATCGGTTGGGAGGCTTTCGTTCCTCTGAGGTGGTTTGAGGGGTCGGCTGCTGTCCGACTCA